GCAAGGACATCTCGTCACCCACTCTGCCTCGTTGTGGCCGTAGTAGCTCGATGGACTGGGCAAAGAGATAGAGGCAAGGCTTAGTTGGACATGCAGCGGTCGCTGTCGAAGCCCGGCAAAGCGGGGTAGACATGGCTTGTTGCTTACTCAAAGATGACGGGCTCGCCGGACGCAGCATCCTCTCCAACGTTTCCGGACCTTCGGCGAACCGAACCCCATGCACGCAGGTTCAAGGTAGATTAGCGCACAGCTGAGCGCAGGTGAAGCCAGACGTCCCCGCAAGCTCACCAGAGATCGCCGTGTAGTACTGCAGGTGATATCTTTCCGTCGAGCGGCTCCAAGAGCAGCGGGTAGACTCTTATCACCACGGTCCGATCGAGAGGCGTCAGCTACGAGTAGCAAGATCATGTTCGTGGGCGTTTGCACTTCGGCCTTACTTTTCTCTCATCTGTCCTTCGAGTGTCGACAGTTCGTGGTCCTCTGACCTTGCGGCGATCCTCTTGATCACCTCGCCGATCCTCCGATCTGCCCAAAAGTCACTCCACTTCTCCGTCCAGGTGTTGTCTTGCTCCTAAAAGGGTCGTCAACGTTGACAAGCTGGGTGAGATCGACAACATACACAGGGCTCGTGAAACCTGGTGGCACCATCGACTTACTGTAGCTCCGCAATGAGTGGGGACATCGAAGCCGAAGAGATTCCGATCATTACCGCCGAATTTGTGCATGTTTGCGAGCCTCTGTCCGAGCAGTCTCTGACCTCGACTGCCGACGCGGCCGTTCATATCAAGATAGTCGGTGACGAGGTATGCCTTTTTGCCGTCCGCGGCCACGCCTGCCGCGTGCACTGCCGGAACCAGGGACTCGGAGCCCCGGGGGCATTGTTCAAGGGCGTCCTTCATCGCTCGTAAGCTCTGGCCCTCGCCGACCACCTGATCGACTGGCGTCGTCAGCTTCGCAAAGAGCAGCCGATTTGAGGGCTGCGCTAGCACTCTACAAGGGCCCGCCGATGAGAAGCTCGAACCGAGCGAGGCGCAATCCTTTTCAAGGATCCGCAGAAGAGCGGGGTCGATGCTGGACATTGCTGCGGACGCTTAAGGTGGAAGCGACAGCGTTGAGCGGCAGAAGGATGACGGAGCTACGTTGCTGTTGGGTGGCGGTACGGTGGGTGGTGGTAGTGGGCGAGCACTGATGGCAAGCCGCGATCGGGCCTAAATCTTTCGACAGCCTCCACATGGTTAGCGGCAAAGATCCAACCAAGTCGGCAGGCCTGCGGTCCCCGACTTCGGTAACCGGAGATGTACTCACAGCTGCGAGCAGGATCCGGTCCAGGAAAATCGCACATCATAGCTAGGCTTTGGCCTGCGATTTCGGAAATCGGAGATGATCTACAGTAGGCCAGTTGCACAGGAGATTATTACACCCCTACAAACCCTGGGTGCCGTAGATCACCTACAGCATCTTTGGCCGTAGGGGTCCCTCACAACGCTTACTGTAGGCCAACCTTCACCCCCCACAGCTGTATGTATTCTACAGGCAATATGAGGCTTGAGTGAGTTGCAACACAGATCGTCCCTGGGGTCAAAGTCAAGCATGCCTCGAGACCTGCAGTCATAGCTAGCGTCAAAGGGCAGGTGGATTTTGGCTGTACGCCAGCCTACGGCCTGAAATCGGGAAATCGGGGGTCATCTACGCTAAAAAATGGCCGTAGACAGCCCTATGGCCAAAATCGGCAATCTCCTGTGCCAATTTGGGGCCGCAGGGGGGCCTACGGCCGGAAATTGGCAGGCATCCTGCGCCAGTTTCCAGCCGTAGGGCCCCCTACAGCCCTCTGCTGCCAAGGACGGCCGCTTTTTGCTTACATCAGCTCAGGGGCCTGCTGATGCGCGCACGCTGGCCACCCAGCCCTTTGCCAATTCCATCCACCCGCCCGTCCACCCATCTCCTGCCCTCCTACCACCACCACCCAACGCCACCTGCCAGCTCACCCGCCAGCCACCCGCCAGCACCCACCAGCACCCACCAGCACCCACCAGCCAGCCGTCAGTCCAGCACAGCGGCCAGGCCCTGCCACTCATAGCTAGCAGCAGGGTCGGGCCGGATTGGGATCGTAGGCAGGCTACGATCGGAAATCGGGCATCGAGCCCTGTCTTTGATTTTCCGATGCGCGGCCTACCTACAATCTAGCTACAATCCAAAATCGTAGCCCACCCACCCACCCTGCCTGCGTGCCTGCCTGCCTTGCTGTCGCCACCTCCGCACAGTCAATTGCGTCAATCATTGGAATCCTCGGAGAGCTCTCTCCGAGGATTCCGATGATTGCGACGCCCGCTCCGCTTCCGCTGCGGAGCTAGCAGGCAAGCCGGCTGGCTGGCAGGCTCGGGCGGGCAAGCTGGCTGGCTTGCAGGCTCGGCGGGTTGGCTGGCTGGCTGGCAGGCCTCGGGCAGGTGGCCGGCTGGCTGGCGCGCGCGGCTGACTAAGCTTGCGCGCGCGCCAAAAAAATGTGGAGGTCAGGCCATGCCGCCACCTGCGTGCGTGCTCACACAGGCTTGCTGGCTGGCGTGCGTGTGTGCTCACACAGGCAGGCAGCCTGCCTGACCGTTTGCCCGCCACGGTATAAAGTCTTGCCCCGCTCCACCGTCGCTCCTTCCCTCCCAACCACTACCATCGGCCCCTCACCCGCCATCGACCCTCACCTGCCATCGACCCTTGCCTGCCATCGGACCCTTCGCCCGCCATCGACCCTTGCCTGCCATCGGACCCTTCGCCCGCCATCGACCCTCGCCCGCCATTGGACCCTTTGCCCGCCGCCGCCACCTGACCGACATCAACCCTGGCCTGCCGCCACCACCCGACCAACGTCAACGTCACCCACCGGCATCAACGTCGCCGACACCACGCGTGTGCTCCGCGCCAACGCCACCAACAATGCCGACTCGCCGCCACAGTCAACGCCAACGCCAACTTGCCGCCATCATTGACGCCAACTTGCCGCCACCATCAACGCTGACTCGCTGCCACCACCACCGCCCAGCCGCCATCGCTCACGCGACCAAGGCTGCTTCTCGCTAATGTGAGTACCAAAGCTGTCCACCCGGGGTCGCCATCTGCCAATCTCGGGCGTCACGCTGACGTCGGTTCTCTGCTGCCTTGTTGCCTCTCTGCAGCATACGTGACACGCGCCACGCGCTTTGCGGACTACCAAGACGTCAGCAGGTGAGTCGTATCCTCTTTTGATTCTAGCGCATCGACAACGCTGCGCCTGGCACAATTCTGACAATGCTCCTTCTCTCCGTCTCACCAGCAGCCGCTGCCACCAAATCAATGCTGACCCCGGCCTGCCCTTGCTGTGAGTCCCCCCCCTGCTGGCGTAGGTGCTGCCGCCGGTTGATGGTGCTAATGACGGCCTCGGTATTTGCCAGTTGTACGCTTGTCTTCAGTTGCATCGTTGTTTGCAGTAGCGTAGATAGCGTATTTTGCAATCAAAGCTAGTGTACGTGATCAATAGATCGTAGCCTGCACTTTGGTTGTAGCCTGGCTACAATGCGAAAATTGTAGGTAGGGCTAGTCTAGCTACAATCTGAAAAAATCGTAGGCAGTATACGACCTGAAATCTGCACAGCTTGTCTGGATCCATAGATCATTTGTGTAGAAAGATCTCCTACGATCTGAAAATTGTAGCCTGGCCACGCCCAGCTACAATATGCCAGATTGTAGGTTGACTCTGCTGCTAGCTATGACTTGCCCAGCCACCCGCCAGCCAGCCGCCGGTCCAGTCCAGCACAGCCGCCAGCCACTTGCACAGCTAGCAGCTGTCAGCCACTTGCCCGGTGCAGCCAGCAGCCACCCGCCAACTCATAGCTAGCAGCGGGGTTGGGCCCGATTTTGGTCGTAGCCAGGCTACGATCTAAAATCGGGGATCGATCCCTATCTTCGATTCTTCCGATGCGTAGCCTACCTACAACTAGCTACGATCCAAAATCCGAAATTGGGCCTACCTACGATCTGAGATCGTAGCCCCACCTGCCTGCCTGCCGGCCTGCCTGCCTGCCACCTCCCAGCCGCGTCTCTGCCGCCTCTGCACCGTCAATCATCGGAATCCTCAGTGATCTGCTCTCCGAGGATTCCGATGATTGACGGCTGCTCCGCTCCCGCTCTGCAGCAAGCAGTCAAGCTGGCTGGCTGGCAGGCAGGCTTGGGCGGGCAAGGTGGCAGGCAGGCTGGCGCGCAAGCCGGCTGGCTGGCAGGCTCGGGGGCCGGCCCGCTGGC